CTCAGATGACCTCAAGAACAACGAAACGCAATCGCCAAAGAAGTAAATATGTGTATACATTTTTATATGACTATTAATAGTAATAATAATAATGACTATTAATAGTTATAATAATATTATTCTTATACATATCGCACACCGTCTTCAAAAGAGTCAACTCAAAATAATACGTTTGTGAGAAAATGCGAAAAACTATTTCTTAGCACATGATAATCATATGGGCAAGGACGAGTTTACCTTAGGTTTTTTTAAACAAGTTATAACAAAAATCTGCTACAGCTTTTGTTCAAAGGTAAATAAAAGCTCTGCGTACATTTTAAGCGCATAATCTCAAAAATGCCAAATTTTGAGTTGTGACTCTTTTGAAGACGGTGTGCGATATGTATTTAAACATCTTGCAAATTATTCTTAACGCTTTGATTTAAATATACTTTGCACAGGAAAAAACTACTTACCACCACACAATATATTTATCAAGCTCTTTTTAAGGAGCAAACAAATTCGGATATCGCCGTAATGGCTCTGGGCAAAGTTTGGAATCTACACAAGGTGTATCTATGCCAGAGTCCATACTTTTATAGTATGTTTAACGGCTCATGGAAGGAGTCATGTCAGGACTTCGTGCACATAAAAATTTTAGATGATCGCATCACGTTGGAAGGCAAGCGAATATTGTATTAAACAATATACAGGGAATGGTGTTGATCTACATATATACATATGATATCCAATTACAGCACTGGATGCCGTTTTTGGTTCCATGTACTCTGACGAGATAGAAATCGATCCAAAGGCTGTAATTTCGGTATTAGCCACCGCAACACTCTTCCATTTAGATGGCATTATTGATAAATGCGCCGAAGTGATGATTGAATCCATCAACGCGGACGTAGGTGCAATGCCAGGCTCGGTTTTTTCTTTTTCTTTATACTTTTCGCTATTTTTTCCAGACTGCCATATGTTACTATGAAGCGGCTTGCCAGTATGGAAGCGTGAATGTAAAGAAGGCTGCTATGGTGTGGTTGGAAACTAATTTGCTATGTATATACCCCAAAGACGACCTCTTATTGCGGCAGATAAGTATCGAGTTAATGACGAAGTTAATAGCCAGCCCAGAATTGTACGTAATGCAGACCGAGTTTTCGTTGTACACACTGCTACGAACGTGGATGTATCTGCGTTTGAATCCGCAGTATGACTCTGATAACAATTCTGATGCCTTTTTGGCCGCAACTGGGGGCAGAGACAGGGGTCGAAGCTGTAGTAGTGGGAGTACCAATAGCAGCAAAAGTGGCGGCGACAGTCCATCTCTTGCAGACCTCATACAAGCTTTCTTCGGAAACCGCAGCGAAAGGCGCCCATTCCTGGCCACACCTGAAGGTCAACAATTCGTTCCTCCATTCCAAGCGCTACGCACGCAGTACTTAACCAATCATCACACAGATTTAAAGATCGTACTTAATGATAATATCATTCCAAAGGATTGGCTGCATAGCCACGTACTAAGCCACTGGCATTCAATTTTAAAGGTCGACCACCTGCCGGAGGAGGGGTGAGTAGATAATACATTAATACAAATAATTTTGTAAGGTGATTATTTGGTAACTATTTTTGTAGCATTACCGTTTTTATAGCCAGAAATTTCAAAATTATATTTAAATGCACGGAATACACTGAAACAGTTACCTCTACTTACTCACCAAACCCATTTTAAGGGCTTCGCTAGCTAAAAAATCCTGTTATGACACCCAACGGAAGGCTACAGCCGTTCTTTGGTAGTTTAGTATCCGTTTTGTTAATTTGAGGTCATGGGACCAAGCATGGCCCTGGATACTTTGCATTTACGTTGCTGGGATCACCTTTTATCCGCCTCTTGAAATATGCCTAACGCATATTTCTTTTAAAAAGCCTGTAGGGAGATAGTAGCACTACGTTTGCTATGCCCAGCAGACATCTGCAGCGGGTGCATGATTTTCGTGTATACTCGATCATCTAACAAAACCCGTTTTGCATCGTTCTCTGTATACGAGCAGAAGTATTGTTCGTTATCGACTGAGCTCAAGACGAACATGTTGGCCACAACACCCGATTGCTTTTCATACATACTTGATTGGGTTCGGGTGCTTTGCAGCTCAATATACCCGGGTGTTCGAGTTTCAACCCGAGTGTGCACAAAATTTTCTTGATTGGCTTATGACGTTTTTGTTTCTACAAAAAATGTTGCCTTCTCATCGCGGTGTTCTTAGTTTTTGTGCGTAGAGGGTAAAGAGAAGGTTGAATTTTTCGGTAGTTTGTTTAAGTGTACATTTAACCATTTCTTATATTTTTGCTCATACAAAATGCGGCATCACGACGCCTACATCCATTTAGGTATAAATGTGTGTAGATCGGCAATGCCCAAGCCCTATACACTCGGTGCACATTTATTTTTTGTAAAAGTACTTATGTACCTACATAGTTTTAGGCTGTGTTCTAATATATATACACACAGCTTTCCACGCGAAACTATACGAAATAGATGCAAAAACATTTTTGTCTACTTCGCTTCTAATTTTTTCATTGCGTATGCACAAGCACAAAGCAACAACATTTTCGTATGCTTTGTGGGAACATATTGGCGCCAGTTACCTTCAGCGTAAATTTCTTTGTTGTCCTGCATTTTATCGCAATGTTCGGGTGTCCGTTTCATTGTTACACAAATTTTCGGGTTAGCTGCGGGTGTCCGAGTGTGGTGTTCGCTTGTGCTCAATTTATAGCGAGGGTGATCGAACAGACTCGTTCGTAACCAAAGCAGCTGTCGGGTATGCATCTCGATCGAACACATAGTAGCCGAGTGTGGCGTTCGCTTGTGCTTGATTTTTAGTGAGTGTGATCAAAAAGGCTCGATCATACTCAAAGCTGTTCTCTGACGCCCAGGTATACAGTACAAGTGTATTCTCCTATTTTTAATAAATTTCTGCATCCTAAAACACTTTTTGAGGTCCTTGTTGTTTTTGTAGCGGCTACAACAACCCCACCCAGATTGGTTAGTGCCTCAATCGTTGTCATCCAGCTCTACTAGCGGTAGACCCAGGAAGCGTGCAGCCTCAATGGGGTCTGTGTATAAGGACAGAGGCGTTAGCTGGGTGGGGTTCAGTGGGCACGCGAAGAGATGCTGCGAGTCATGGGGCGTCTCTCCGCATGTCGGGTATTCACTTCGCATATCTGCATTTATTCCGCTCAGGTATGAGTTCCAGAATGAAGTTGGGCTGTTATTGTCCGAGTCAACAGAGGCAGACGAAGCACAAGTCATCAATTCCATTCCCAGTCGCCATTATCGAACAATCGTCCACATAAGAGACGATCGAGACTCCCTCTGGTGGTTGAGGGAGCTTAGATATAAAAGTTGAACAGTAGTGGGGAAAAGACACCACCCTGTGGAACCCCCTGTTTTCATTTTCCTAGGTTTGCTCGATGACGAGTGTTGACCACTCAGATAGATCGCTGACCACCGTTAGAGTCCCTGTGGGAGACGAGGGCGCTGTGTCTTCTAGTAGCGTTCAGTGTCTGACGGTGTCGAACGCCTTGGACAGGTCCAACGCTACTAGAATAGTTTTCTCACAGGGGCGGTTTTGGTTAAGGCCACGAGTTATCTGGGAGTAGAAGGGCCTCTAGTGTCTTCGCTACCGGGGAAAGGAGATTTATAGGGTGATAGGACTCTCTTTTGCTGGACCGTGTCCCCAGTTTAAGCAGCGGGACCACTCTCCCCATTTTCCAGATGTCAGGTTGAGGGCCTTGGTCAAATATTCCACTTCCGCTGGACCCAAATTTTTCAGCATCAGCATGCAAATTCCGTTGGGTCCAATGGCTTTGGAGGCTTTCGCCTTCCCGAATGCTACCGTTACCTCGCCGCTCGCCAGAGTATGCAGTATGAACTGTCGGCTAAAATAGCTCGCGCATCGCTCCGGGTCCGACGAAGCGTGGTCGCCAAAAGATATTTCAACTCTGTCGTCACGCCTCATCGGGTTGGACAATGACCTCACGGTTGACCTTACTTACTGAAGCTTACTCAGACCAGAGGCGAAGTTGCAGGTCTTCAGATGCTCTTCCCACTTCTTCCGCTTATGTACATATATTCACAAGTTGCCGAATCTCCGAGTGGAGATCCCTGATACGGGTATTTCCAAGATCGGCCCGACGAAGGTTGCACGCTTATCGGCTAGGACAGCCGCTTCAGCAGGAAAATTTGGACGGGGGTCCGAAATGCATCCTGCTGGAACGAGGCGGGCTGCAGCAGCAGTGATAACCCTGTGGAATTAACGCTCACCTATGTGAACGTCGGTTGGTGTGGGTAGGGCAGTGAAGGTGATTTCAGTAAAATCTGCAAAGCCCTTTCCAGTCAGCTTTGGAGAAGTTGACATAGGTTCGGTGATCCGCGGAAGTAAAGTCGGCTGGTTTATCAATCGAGATGACTAGGGGCAGATGGTCTGATGTAAAGGTCAGCATAGGTCGCCATGGTATGTTGTTGAGCAGACCAGCGCTGACAATTGTTAGGTCTGGCGAGCTGCAGAAGCTGCCCATAATCCTGGTGGGTGCGTCGCACAGCGGGCAAAAGTAGTAACGGATTAGGGAATTCTGACCAAACCAAAAATAATTTTTAATAAAACTGCATATTTGCAGTCATGACACGAGCTTAAAGTAGGAACAATGCGAAAAAATAAATTTGTAAGAAAAAATTTTGATTTTGTTGCAATTAATTTGTATCAATTCTTCCACTTGTGCGGATATACTAAATGCCAA